ATTGCAAGAAAAATAGTTTAATTGTTAATGTTAAATTGTGTGCAAACATCTTAAATAATCTAACTGATGAAGCCCAAAGGATGCATGTTTTTCTCTGGAGTCAACATAGTTGCCACTTCAACATGAATTATGGGCCCGAAAGAGACAAATACAATTTTATTCTGGTGATACACACAATGTATGAGGATTCAGAGTGAAGCATCACTCTGAATGATTGGAGTTTTACTTCCAGTGGTTTATTTCAAATCATTTCTAAAGGAATCCTAAATGAGAGATTCCATCTGTGAGTCTTTTGTATGCAGGACCCAATTATCCTGAAAAGTGTTCCTTCCTCCATCCCCAAAGCTGTTTGCCGCATAGGTCTTTTCACCAGCCTGAGCAGGAGAGGCGACTGATTCTGAGCCTCCTCACTAAGTCCGAATCTGGGGTGTTGCCAAGAAAGTGAGAAGTGGGGCTATTTATTTTACAAAAAATACAGACTTCCTGTTGAGATTTAATATCTGTACCAATGATAGAACCAAGCTATAACAGAGAGATGTTACTAATTCAGAATGGAATTGGACAAATCATTGGAGATGCAAGGTTTAAGTGTTACAGATTTAAAAGACTGTGCACAATTCATTAAAGGTCAGTTATAAATGGATATTAGTTAATATGTAAGGTATGGAAAATTAATGAAAAAACATCAGTCAATCTGTATTTGAGATGAGTAGGTCCTCAAATAACTGTTTCACATGCACATTTAAATTTTATCATCTTCCCATTATATATGACAGGATGAGCAGCCTATCAGCAAGAAACCTGCACTTGAAGCTCCGTCTACGTAATAACCTAACACCAAGATGTGAATGTATGTAATGCAAGTTAATTTATTAATTAGACTTTAAGATTATGATGCTGAGTGCTTACTATTTCTCGGCTTTTGACTTGGCCCTTTTTCTACTGTCTGTAGAAGATATGAGAGTATGAGAACACTCAAAATTTAAATCTCATTACTATATGGATAGATCGCAAGTATTTTCTTTATTTCCTGGTCATACAAAAGCAGGATCATTTTCAACTGATCATAGTAGTGGTTAGTTCTGATAGTGCATGTGAAATATATTGAATTGTGCAATTCATCAGGGTGTAATTGTAATAATTTAGAGCTGAAAACAAACTTTATTTAATGATAGGAAACTCTTAAAGGAATTTTTATTAAGTATTTTCTGTTGTGTTCTCTTTTTAAATAAAATGTGTATCACGATGGATTAAAAATTGGCAAAATATATAACAAAAAGTAAAGAGTGAATAATTAAGGATGGTTTAAAAATTTTCTTCTTTTTCAAAACTAACTTTCTATTGCAGATGTGTATTATTTTTAGAATAAGAAAAAATAACTTATTTGTTAGGTTAATCAGACCTATGTATCTGCTTAGATTTCTAAACACCTGTGGCAAAAAAAAAATCTAAAAAAACATAATCCATTTCACACATGCATCATTTAAAACATAGTTGCTTTTGTTCAGAGTCTCTGATCCCCATTCCGTGGCCTAATGTGTACCACAGATGGGTCGTACTGAGCCAAGAGGCTTATGGGGCAGTGGAATGGCCCCTGGGCTGCTTGAATCCTGGATTGTGAGCCTCTCTTCCTTCAATTTCCCTGTGCTGCACACATACTATTTTCTATGGGGTCTATACCAGGACAAACGGTTGCAACACATTAGCTAGATTTCTATATATACATATAAAAATGTATGTATATATATATTTGTAATCTTCAAACGCTAAGAATATGGCCAATTTGGCTGACATTTTAGTTAATAAAATAGGTTAAAACAAGTTTACTATGTAAAAATTCCTACTTAATAATTTTCTTACTCTGTCCAGACAATCAAATCCCTTTCTGTCTTTTCTTCATTACCTCATTAAAAAAATAATTAAAAATAATTAAAAAATAATTTATCAACTGTTTCTATGTGGTGAGAATTGCTTATTGGTAAATTGTAATTTGACCCAGAATGAAATTTAGTGCTTATGGGCAGGTGTAGCTTCTAAAATAAAAGGGGTTGTTTGTCTCTAGACTTTGTTGCAGGAGAAGGATCAAATAATCAAGAAAGAATCATGGAAGACCCATAGGATATAGAGGTGAGTCCCACTCTCCTGACTATGGCCCCCTGCCTGTCCATTATAAGATCTGAGAAGCTATACTTTGTATTCACACACTATTCCCTGTTAACTTACATGGTAGTAACATTTTAAAATGTAAATATTGATGGGGGGGGAGAGGGGATGGGCATGGAGGAGGGCACTTGTGGGGATGAGCACTGAGTGTTATGTGGAAACTAATTTGACAATAAACCATTAGAAAAAAAATAAAATGTAAATATTGAGAAAGAGAAAACCCATCTCTTATTCCCAGCTACACTGTCAGATTCATCCCTGCCATTGATTTTAGTACATGCAGTTCCGTAAAATAAAGCTCATAGGTGTGATCTTCCTCAAATTATTGTGCTAAGTGTTAGAAGCAATGACCATATTTTGCAGTGAAAATTCCATTTAAAAAAAATGACTTATAAATAATGTAAGTTTTAAGAGATTGTCCACTGCAGTATCTCCAGGATTGTCCACATGCGGTTTACCATGTCAGCCACCAAATAGATATTTGTTACATAAATAATGTTCTTTGGCCTTCCCGTGTATCATATGGTTTACAATCTGGCACAATTTTTTTTAAGTTTATTTATTTATTTTGAGAGAGAGAGTGTGCACAAGCAGGAGAGGGGCAGAGAGAGAGGGATAGAGAGAATCCTAAGCAGACTCTGTGCTGTTAGCACAGAGCCCAATGTGGGGCTCAATCCCATGAACTGTGAGATCATGACCTGAACTGATATCAAGAGTTAGATGGTTGACTGACTGAGGCATCCTGCACCTCAATCTGGCATGATTTTTTATATGTACCCATCTGTTTCCCAACAGTAGACAGTAAGAACTGAGGAAGGAAAATGTCTATTGTGTACAACATCATGTTCCTACATCCTGGTGATACCTATGTGCACAAAGTTGAATGAATTAAAGAGAGGCCCATGTTGTATCTTACTCGTCTATCATCCTAAGTAATTAATTATACAAGCATAAGCCTTGATTCCTATTTGATTAAGAATATGCTTGGAACAATGCAGATTGACTTATTGCTCTGTTGAACTAAGACAGTGCTGTAGCAACTGAACCGGGCCTGTGCAAACTTGTCTATCGCTTATTTTTTCTGTGTAATAATTTCTGAAAATATGTTTCAGTTATTTTGAAGAATACGTCTGTCTCTCACAGCAGGGAGATTAGGTTCATTTGGTGCTAGAGAAGCTGGAATCTGAGAGAAAGTGAGTCTACTGCTCATTTTAGGTTAATTTTTTTTCCTGTAAAATACCGTAGAGGACCTAAGATTAGTAGGAGAGCAGCTGGCAGGATTTAGAGGAATCTCACTGAGCTCAATATTCTTCCTTTAGAGCAAACTCAGGTATAGAGTACCAGATCCTGTTCTTCCTCACTAGGTGGACTGAACTCTGCCCCCCTCCCAGCAACAAAATCAGACACACTAGAATTCACATTCTTGCTCTGTTCTTTACTAATTGTTTAACTCAGGCAAGTTACTTACTGCTCTGAGCCTTAGTTCCTTATTTGTCAAATGCAGATGGCAATAGGAGTGTGTACCCTGTATGATTCTAGTGGGGATTAGATTATGTATTTATTTATATATATATATGTGTTTATATATATATATATATAATGTTTAATGAGGATTATTTCTATTATCTCTAATCCTTGTTATAAATTAGTACAGAGCCATAATAGGTAGATACTTTATGTGTGGTAGTAGCAATTAATAGCATTTCAACCACTGATGAGAATAGAAGAAACGAAGCTATACTCTCATGTTGACTTACCCTCTGTTGTTCAGTTTCCTTATTATAAAATGGAGATCAAAACATTTCATAGTTAAATTTATTATTAAAAAATAAAATATATATATGTAAATAATCAGCTTATGAATGACAATTATTGTGCTTTATTTTTCTACTCCTGTTTCTGAGCGTGGCCTCATGACTCCCCTAGAGAAGTGAGTCGATTGGTAACTCTGGTTCCAAGGAGGATGCACTTCCTTCCTTTTCTCCTGAGATCTGTACCTCCCCTTCTGCATCCTTATGGAGCACTGCACCTTCATAATGTGGAGCCCCAAACACATAGGCAACATTCATTATCTCTTTCACTGATCCCCATAAAGAGAAATGGAGAGGCCTCGGTCTTATTTCAATAAAAATCAGGGGCTGAAAATATTAAATGAGTGTTAGTTTTCAAGGTGGTCAACTGGTGATACTGTATATATATTTTAAGGGATAAAAAACTATCTTTAAAAAGTGATATACTATATTGATGTGTCATAGATACTCAATAAATCGTACTGAATTGAATTACAATTAATTTTAAGTAGTATTTTAATTAAACAGTGTATTTTTTAAATTAATTAGTTTTGTAGACTGACATGCTGTTTGACTATTAATTCTTATGCCAAGCATTACATGGCACTTTTAAGAAGTATGCCTATGCACACTATAAAAAAAATAACTTGAGAGCCACAATGTCTGCCCTTAAAAGTTTTAAAATATTTTAACTGTATATTACCCTGAGGATCTTCGAGACAGCAGGAAAGGCACAGCATTGTTGTCAAATTGATGAGTCAGACAATGGACACAGTGGAACATGTAAGGCACTATTCAAAATGCTCAGTGTTGCTGTTGAGAATGATCTATGATTGTGATTAATTGCTTTTGAAAGTTTGATCAAAATTGATCTGTCCAGTTTTCTGGCACTGGCTGTTGGATGTCAAATCTCACCCTAGAATTACATAAATCAATTTACCCTGGACTTCTGTAAAAATTGGGAGTAGAAAGATAGAAGTAATTTCTGAGTTGTCAGTGACTGATGGATGTTCTGATTTCACAGTTTTAGTAAAGAAAAGGTCTTACCGTAGCTGTCATAGGCATCCTCACTTACTCCATGACCGTAGTCATAGTATTCAGGCACACTGCAACAGATTTAGACAGCAATCAATGCTACTGTAATCAGGGGGAATCAACCCAGAAACTCATATGGAATTTGAAAGCAAAATGTGTGCTAAAGTAATATCCCAAGAACCTCCAGCATAAAACACAATCCTAAAAAATACTCTGTAGAAACATACAGGTTACTGACAAGGAGTGCTACGATTTTCTCATGCCACCTCAGAACCTCTTTATCTCTAACTTCCAATTTTATAAATCAAATTTCCCTTAAAACACAAGTATCATACTTCAAAATTTGTCAAGAGGAAAGTTATAAAGGTCTATTTCCAAGAAAAAGTGCTATATAAGATGACAATCTGGTCAACCATGTATGGCTTTTAATGCTGTTACCTTAAGAAATGTGCATCAATTTCATCTTTACTTCCAAACACTGAAATTATATTTATTCTCCCCTCTAGCCCTTCCACAGAATGTCCATGAACTTCTCAAATATATAAGCCATTTACTTTTACTTAATACTTTGCTAGATGCTTCTGTGTTTCAATAACTGACAAGAAGGTGCCCTTTCTTCATCTCTTACTCAACTTACAAGCTTCCCCCACTACACTTGTCATCTCGCTGCAGTGCTCCCTGGTGTAAGGCACCATTCTCATTAGCATCCAAGCCTTTCATTATCTCTCATCCCCCAAAAAGTCCTCCCTCACCCCCACATCTCCTAACAGCGACTTGCCCTTTCTCTGCCCTGTTACAGCAAAATTTCTTAAAAAGAGGCAGCTGTTCACTGTTTTCACTGCTTCTCTTTTCCATATGCTTTTGAAGATATTCCAATCAGGCTGTTGTCTCCACTGAAATAGCTCTTGTCAATATCCTGACATTTTCAAATCCAGTGGTCAAGACGTGGTCTTCATTTTATATTAGCACCACTTAACACAGTCAGCCATTTCCTGCTCCTTCAGCCATTTCAGTTGTTTCTGAGACGTCCTCAGAATAAATAATAACTACTTATATTAATATATTCACATTTATATTTATAATTTATGATGTACAATATTTTTCCCCTCATATAAGCTCTTTCATTTTACATCCTCCGCTTGAATCTTCATTTATAACTTCTACATTATATAATAAATTTATCAATAATGTCAAAATTACTAATTCTTTTTAAGTACAGTAAAACCTTGGACTGCGAGTAACTTGTTCTGCGAGTGTTCCACATGACAAGCAAACATTTCTAATAAATTTTAACTCGATAAAATTGCAAGCGATGTCTTGCAATATGAGTAGTACGTGATGCCAAATGTCACATGATCACATGTGAGCCAATGGTTCGTTTTTCTCTCTCTACCTGTCGGATTGTGGGTGACCGTCTCCCACACTCGGATGCTCAGCCTCAGGCCATAGTGTTTGACTGAAATCAGTGATTTTTCAGAACATTGGAAGGTGCCCAGAACTAGCACTAGTGTATTTTTTTGTCACTTCAAAGCACATACAGACAGTCCTTTGCTTTTCCATACAAGAGGAAGCTTAGGAATGCTTTGCTTCATTCTAGGTCAGGCTGCCTGCAGATATAGACCCTTTCCTCTGCTGCCTATTGCCAATGACATTAAATACAGTGTATGACAAGAGTTCATTAATACTGTACTGTAGTCAACATCCATGTGACTAAATACAGTGGCCCCCATGCAGAAAAAGATCCATTGAACCAACAGATAGCAATGATTCCATTTGTGATAGTGAAAGTCGTCCTACAATAAGGACAACTTTCTCTTCTCTCCCTCACACCAGCCATGACAGTTTTCCAAGATAAGTGAGGGTTAATTTATTTTTCTTTATATTTTGTATTTTCTTTATTATTTTGTATTATATTATAGTACTATAATCATTTTTATATGAATATTTTTGGGTTGTGGAATAAATCTGAGTTTCCATTATTTCTTAATGGGAAATTCGCTTTGAATACAAGTGTTTTGGATTACAAGCATGTTACTGGAACTAGTTACGCTCGCGAATCAAGGTTTTACTGTACTTTGGGATATTCAGATTTTCGCTTATCTTTACCTGGGAAGCAACACCTCCATACATAAAATAACCCTCTTCCCCAAGTATTAAATAAAAAGCAGAGACTTTAACCTTTGGAATTCCAGCCCCTCTAAGAATTTCATTAAATCTATGGGTCACTGGTCCAGCTATGAAGTGTGGCAAGAAAATGGCTTAAGTTCAAAGACCAAATTATATAAGGGCTGAGGGTGGGCCACAGATATCAAAGGGTTAGGTTGAAAAGAAAGATAGAAAGGCCTAAAATTTTTGTGGCTGTCATTATCTCTCAAGGCACTCTCGTAGGTCTCATATTGAATACTTCAGATTTCATTGATAGTAAGGAAAGAGAAGCAAAAAAGAAAATACAAGTGTATGCATTAGAAATGAAAATGAGAGACAGAGAAGTTTGGCCCTTTTTCTCTTTCTGGGAGGCAACTGAGAAATCACTAATTCAGTTTTAGTATAAAGTAGTTAGGAAAAAGAACATTACTGAGTGCGGCCTTCATTGCCCAGAATATGTATACACAAATTATCTAGGAAAAAAGTATGGTAGTATGTGTTTCTTCCCATTTTTGAGATTATAAAAGTCTAAGGCCATTGACTAGTGGCTGGATATTTCTCTCTTCTTTCACATACTTAACAGAAGCGATACAGCCTCAATGAGAATCCTCATGCATGTGTTGCAAATTCCTGAAAGTTGTTACATTGATTCCCTGGATGATCAAGAGAGGACAGTCATGAGAATATGATTTAACAAACAGCATTCCCCTTTATATGGTTGGAGAGAAAATGAGGGCGTTGACAGCAGCTTCTCTCTCCCTTTGTCACAATCAATAATGTTTCCTTGAAAAAAAACAAAAAACAAAAAAACTATGTTTCCCAAAGTGCTGTATGAAGACCACCAGCTCCAAACACTGTGTAGTGGCATTACTATATTTCTCATTGGATTTCAATTATAATTTTTAATGTTTATTTATTTATTATTTTGAGAGAGAGAGAGTTAGTGGTGGAGGGGCAGAGAGAGAGAGGGAGAGAGAGAATCCTAAGAAGGCTCTGTGCTCCGCCTGGAGCTTGACATGGGGCTCGATCTCATGACTGTGAGATCATAACCTGAGCTGAAATCACGAGTCAGACGATTAACCAACTGAGCCACCCAGGCACCACTCAGTTTTTAATTTTAATTGATGAAGGTAAAGGACAGGAAAAAGAAAGTAGTGAGAGAGACCATGACAAAGAAACTACAGTTATTGCCTGTTGTAAATGATACATACACATCAAGAGGGAGTTTTAACTTTTAGCTGCTCTAAAAAGGGGAAAGTAGAACATACCAGATATTTGTAAAATAAAGGATAATGCAAAATAACAAATAATAAGCATAGTGGACTCTGTAAGAGTCCATATCTTTGCTTGTCTGAACATTACTTTTCATTTCTTCCTTAGGAAAACATTTTGTATGGACAAATGGTTGCACTGCGAATAAATACATTTCTCAGCTATCCTTACAACTAGATGTGCCTTTGTGGCTAAGTCAGGAAACACGGGATTTGCACACAAGTGAGAGTGGCCACCCTGAGTTTCTTTCTAGTTTACTGACAAGCTCCTCATCTTGGACTTGTGCAGTCATCTCCTTCGTTGGTAGAATGCACTCAAAGTAATGACCTGGCAGCTACCATGCAAATAAAGACTGTGCCTTGGGAAGGCATGGAAAGCAACATGGGAGGAACTTCTGCCTCTAAGTGGTTCTGTGGGAGAAGACTTACTGTAAACCACTGCCTACTTCAGGGACTGTTGTGGGTAAAAAATATTTTTTATCTTGTTTGAGCCACTGAACTTTGAATCTCTGTCACAACAATTAGTCAAATAAATGAGTATGTAGAAGTGTCGAACTGCCATTAAAATCCCAAAATACTGGGCATTAGCTAAGTGGGAGAATGTAAGGAAAAAAATATAGTAGGGAAGAAAGCTAATAGGCCTTGTTATGCCATTGGCCATGAACTTGGAACAGTAGGGTACAGGTCTACATAAATTTTGACACTACAGGAAAAAAGCTGAACAATGCCCAAATGTTCTTCATCCTGCTGCTTTTAGAAAGGCTTACAAAAGTCATGAGCTTAAATAAGAATGGGCCATTTTTCCAGAAGAAACAGAAGTGAATAGAATTGTGCTAAGGGAAGTTATTTCTGCCTGATTTATGTAGCAGTTCTATAATTTAAATTGAAAGAGTGTTCAGAAATTTGTGGTTTGGCAGGATTGGAGAAGTCAGCTGTTTCTGTATGCCAATAGGAAGATATAATGAGGGGGGCATTTGTTGCTCAAAAATGCCCTCACCTTTTCCCGTTAGACTTTACCATCATGTATGATCCCTAGAACATTCCTCAGGTTCCTGAACATGTACACACATGCTGGCTTTAAAAATTGTGAAGTCCCCAATGAGGGCACACTATACTTGACTCAATGCCGATGTGGCTATGGATTAAGACCATTTATCCATTAGGATAAAGAAGAACCTTCTAGTAAATCTGGTATAAGCTCCAGAAAAAAAAAACAAAAAACAAAAAACAACAAAAAAAACCAAACAAACAAAAATAGCCCACAAGGTTGCCAGGTGCACTAACCAAAAAACTTATTTCAATGTGGTAGCTTAGGTGTCTTTTATTGTTGCTTGGCAGGATTTTATAATTGTTATTGCCTATGGAGCCTTCAGTGTTTCCCAGTGAAAGTTTCTATCATGGTGATTCTGTTCCTTTTCCACCAGTTTATATTGGGTATAATGTATGGGGAAGAAAGCTGAGAGCAGCAAAGATAATCTGCTTATCATTTTATAGGTTGTCAGACTTCGAAGAACCATATCGAGACCTTGTGCAGTTCTGTATATTTCCCAGAGATTCTGGATATTGAGCTGGCAGCAGTCATTGGAATTGAACTTGGATTTTCTCTCTTGGGTAGTAGGTAGGTATCTATGTTTGTTTTAATGAGAAGAATGGTA